TCGTGCGAGACGAAGGGCAACGCGGCAGACGCACTGCCACGTGGGCATCCTGGGACGGTCCAACACACCCCAAAGACCACCTGGGCAAAGAAAGCACCAGCCGAACCGGGAATGGGGACGGGAGGGCGGGCGAAAAACCAATCGTTTGGTTCATTGTCGCCACGGTTACCTTGTCCAGGCTATCCGCAGCGACCTGTGGGCGTTGGCTCGCCTTCTGGTTCGCCGTCGGCCAACCCTCCGTCGAGGGTCTTGCACCGAGTCGCGTGGGTCTGCCCTGTCCTGGCAGGGTCCCGTTCCTTGTCCAGGACTGCGGCTGTCGCGTTGGTTTGCCTTATCCAGGCAGGGACCCGTTCCTTATCCAGGAGCTGCGGTTGACTTTTGGTTTGCCTTGTCCAGGCAGGGACCCGCTCCCCATCGGGGAGCCGAGCGCCTGCCGCGCGGGCTCGCCTTGTCCAGGCAGGGGGCCCGTTCCTTATCCAGGAACTGCGGCCGCATTTGTGATTTACCTTGTCCAGGCAGGGACCCGCTCCCCAGCGGGGAGCCGAGCTTTGCCTCGTTGGTTTGCCTTGTCCAGGCAGGGACCCGCCCCCTATCCAGGAATTGCGGTTGCCTTGGGTTTGCCTTGTCCACGCTCTGACCCGCTCCCTTTCGGGGAGCCCAGCGTAGGCGCGGGCGCCTAGTACACAAGGACCTTTTGCCCTCGGCACGGTTTTCCCTTGGCTCTCCTGGGTGGCGGCAGCACAGCGGCGCCGGCGGCAAAGCGGCGGCAGCAAAGCGGCAGCGGCACAGCGGAGGAAGGCGGAGAGGCCGCATGCCCACAATTGTAGGCAGAAGGCGAATTAACAGAACAGACTAAGGTCCAGAGCCCGCTCCTCGCGATGTTCTTGCCCCAGAAACCAGAGATTTAAGGACTATGAAAATCGCCACGGCAGCCGGTCACCATAAGTTCGGCTGATGCCCTCGTGCGAGACAAAGGGCAACGCGGCAGACGCACTGCCAGGTTGGCATCCTGGGACGGTCCAACACACCCCTATGCACCAGGAGGCGCACACGCAAACGCGTTTGCCTGTTCCAGGTTCTCAGGAAGCCCCAGAAACCTCCGAAACGCTGAGGCGGCGACATGCGGCAGCAGACAATGACAAAGCAAATCGTGCAACACTTTTTTCCTCAGTGACCGATGCACGCGATCGTCTGTCAAGGCTCGCGTCGCTCGACTCAGAGTGGTCGATTAACCACTCCGCAGCCGCCATCGCGCCGCGGCTCTTGGCGCTCGCATAGCCGAGCGCTGCCACTCCACGCCAACCGCCACTGAAGACCAGAGCTGTCGGCCCGCCGGTTCGCAACGCTTCGTCTGCGAAGCCGCGGCGGAAAGCGTGCGTCCCCCACGCTTCGGGGGCGCGGGACCTTAGTGCAGCGGCGCCCAGTTTTAGCACGGCCAGCGCTTCAGCGTATTGCACGTCTTCGAAGGGCCTGGCGTGCTCTCGCGCTAAGCGGAACAATGAGCATACTCCACACAACGTTTTTCCTTGGAGTTCACAGAAGCATCTACGCACGACACTGACTGGTTCGTTAAAGCATTTCCGACGGAGGAAAATCACCTCGCACTCTTTGCGGCCGGCCTGCGAGACCGAAATTGTCATTGCATCACTTCCAAGCTTCATGAGTTCACCATAGCGAAAGCAGAACTGCCTGGCGATCACCCACGATTCTGCAAGCACCGGGTAACCGGCCGCTGTCGTCCACACGCGGAGTTTTCGCGTTTCTTCGCCCGTGGCCCGCACCCTGGCCCGGCGAGCAGATGCAGGAGTGAGTTTTTCAGCGTTTCTGATCAGCCGTTCCGTGTGAGCGCCCAAGGGGATCTCCAACAACCGGCAAACGCTCCAGATATGCGACACGCACCTCTGCAATGACGATACGTTCCTGAAGAAGCGGATGAAGATGTGGAACACGGCGGGCGACGCAGGCCAGCATGTCCTGCCAGCTGTAGCTGCTGCTTCACCCCAGAGGCGAATTGCCGAAGCGCACTGCGGGGCGCTCTTCCGCCACTCAACCCACATTGCGCGATGCTCGCACTCGATGGACGATCTGCCCGTCTGGCGGGCTCTCCTTGCCTCGACCATGGGCCTGTCCGCGGCCGCGCTTCCCGGGGAGGAATCCAGACGCCCCAGCGCGGCGGTCGCAGCTGCCAAATTCCGAGGCGCGGGAATTATTTGCGCGCCCCGGAGCAGCTGCAAGGCCAATGCGCCGGCGCGCGCGCGAGAGCGCCCCCCGCCGGCGAAACCGCGCGGCCATCTGCCCTGGGGGAAGCTGCTGCCACTTGTCCCACCTGCGCGCGGTAGTTTTGGCGGGGCACGCCCGCTTCGCTGCGCCACTGGCGCCGGGTAAAGTTGCCACGGTGTTCCAGCAGCTTCTCCACGAACGCCACCGCGCAGGCTGCGAGCGGTGGAATGATACTCTGCGCCTCGGTCGCCGCCAAGCCGCCCAGGCCACGCGGCGACTGGGAACCCGTTTCGGCCAAGGCCGCGATTAAAGCTGCCACGTCCGCGCCCGCAGCGGTCTGCGCAGCCACGACGCGCGCACCGCGGCGGCCAGACTCGATTCCGGGCCATCGCTGCTTGCAGACTCTTGCGTGGACCGTGCTGCGCGGCTCTGGTGTTTGGGTTTCGGAAACATCGCCTTGGGCCCAAAAGTGGCTCCGGGTGGTGCTGCTGGCGTGACCCGACGCAGACAGACGATCGATGGCCCGTATTTTTTCTCGCGCTCGCAAGCGATGGCCGAAGCATTTTTCCCCTCAGGCGCGCCGCGGCACGTCTCGCGGGAAAACCATGCCACCTCGCGAAAACCATTTGCAAGTAACGCATGTAGCTGCCCTGCCTTGGCTCGTGGACGAGCGGGCGCATCGGCCAGGTTTAAATGCGACGGCACGTGCCAGATGTGCAACAGATGGCCACGCTGCGCAACGGAGAGCCACAACTCGCCGATTAAATCGTTCCAGTCGGCCTGCCTGGAACACCCGCGCAAGGGGGCCCCCAACGCGCTGGCATGATCTACGAAGACTACGATCTCCAGGTCGTCCGACATAGAGTCCATCGAAAACTTGAGGGCGCAAGCCGCTGCCGTGAGCTCCCACGTGCCGATTTGGTTCTTCCTGTAATGAACCCATTTCTTGGCAACTGCTGGGACGTCGGTTGCTGCCCGGGCCTTTAAAAGCGGGGGCGTGGATGACCCGTGGCATCCGCCCATGGCCCGTGGCATCCGTGTAAAGGATGCAGCGGGATCGCTCTAAACGCTGCGCTGGCACGTTTCGGGGCGGCGGCTTCTGTAGGAAACGCAGCCACCACTGTAAGCACAGTTGCGCTCGCCGGGGCAATCTGCGTCGATTGCCCGCCCCGCGATGAAAAATCGCAGCTAAACATACACGTGCGCCTCTGCCAAAAACGGCGGCTGCGCCCCAGCTCAACTTGCCCGCGAGCTTTTGGGCCCGAGCTGGCGAAAGTGAGCGCCGCTGCAATGCTTCCCGGACTTCTGCGCACCATTTCTCGACGCTCTCGGCTTCGAGAGTGAAAATGATGAGCTGTCGCCACGGTTACCTTGTCCAAGCTATCCGCAGCGACCTGTGGGCGTTGGCTCGCCTTCTGGCTCGCCGTCGGCCAACCCCCCGTCGAGCGACTTGCGCCGAGTCGCGTGGGTCTGCCCTGTCCAGGCAGGGCCCCGCCCCTTGTCCACGGACCGCGGCTGCCGCGTGGGTTTGCCTTTTCCAGGCAGGGACCTGTTCCTTATCCAGGAACTGCGGCTGACTTTGGTTTGCCTTGTCCAGGCAGGGACCCGCCCCCCATCGGGGAGCCGAGCGCTTGCCGCGCGGACTTGCCTTGTCCAGGCAAGGGGCCCGTTCCTTATCCAGGAACTGCGGCCGCATTTGTGGGTTTGCCTTGTCCAGGCAGGGACCCGCTCCTTATCGGGGAGCCGAGCTTTGCCTCGTTGATTTGCCTTGTCCAGGCAAGGACCCGCCCCCTATCCAGGAACTGCGGCTGCCTTGGGTTTGCCTTGTCCAGGCAGGGACCCGCCCCCTTTCGGGGAGCCCAGCGTAGGCGCGGGCGCCTAGTACACGAGGACCTTTTGCCCTCGGCACAGTTTTCCCTTGGCTTTCCTGGGCTGCGGCAGCAAAGCGGCGCCGGCGGCAAAGCGGCGGCAGCAAAGTGGCAGCGGCACAGCGGAGGAAGGCGGAGAGACCGCATGCCCACAATTGCGGGCAGAAGTCGAATATACAGAACAGGCTACGGTCCAGGAGCCCGCTCCTCGCTACTTTCCTGCCCCAGAAACCAGAGATTTAACGATTATGTTAAAGATTACAAGGGTTTCACGGGTTGAGGGCGGGTCATTTTCAAAATGTGGTTCCCGCCTTAGCGCCGCGTGCATTCGTTTGAAAAATTTGCCGGAGTCTGACGGATTGAGGGCGGGTCGTTTTCAGATTGTGGTTCTCGCCTTAGCGCCGCGCACATTCGTTTTCGAAATTTCCAATAATTTCATCGATTGCCACGATCAGCGCACCAAGAAAGGTGTTTTGGAACGATTCAGGATTATCCGGGCGCAACAGTTATGTTGATTCGCTGTGTTGGGGTCCCACAAATGGCGTTCTGGCACGATTCTGGATCGTCAAGACGCAGCAGTCATGTTGATACGTGGCGTTGGAATCCCGAGAACAATGTTTTGGTCTTCCAGCGAGGCAATTCCCTCAATGGAAATGAACCGCTGTAGGGGCCTATGAAGAGGGAGCTTGGAGGGAGGGTTAATTCCACTGGTCCTCCTCCTCCTCCTCCTCCTCCTCCTCCTCCTCCTCCTCCTCCTCCTCCTCCTGGTCTTCCTCCTCTTCCTCCTCCCCCTCTTCCTCCTCCTCCTCCTCCTCCTCCTCCTCCTCCTCCTCCTCCTCCTCCTCCTCATCATCTTCATCCACATCCTTCTCCTGGTTCTTCCTCCACACCGCGGCAAAGGATGGCAAGGACATGCCCCCCTACGAGGACCAGAAGGAGGGACACCCCGAGGATGGACCGAAGGACGAGCACGCGAAGACGGTGCGTGTCTTGAAGGCTTTCACTGCAGGGACTGAGCATCTTCGCGCCTGGTGGGGAGGACACCAACAAGAAGAATCGTGTCCCTTGGAGGACGTCGAAGGCCCAGATCAAGCACGACGCAATGAAGTGACGGCACAAGTGCTGCAAGTGGTGCGGCAGCTGGGCCCCGAGCGAGGCGCTGTCACAGCAGCAAAAGCCGAGGGCGGAGCTGGATGCGAACCTCGCGGAGGCCCTGGAGGAGGCGAGGGGCCTGCAGGAGGTGGAAGTTTCACAGATAATAGGCCTTGTGGCAAGACGGAGGCGAGCAGGTCCTTGGCATCGCAGCCCAAGGCGCGAACGTCACCGCGGTCGACCTCCTGGCCGTGGAGGGGCGGCGCCATGCAGGAGCAGCTGGAGCAGAGGTCGGATTTGGATGTGAACATCGCGGACGTCCTGAACAAGCAGAACCCAACGCAGGCGGCAAAGGTCGTAAAGGCAGAGGGCAGAACGACCCGATGGCAGCGCATATTACGGAGGTGAAGGCGCGGATATGGAGTCGGAAGAGAGCACTCATGATTTGGCTCACTGACGACGTTGGCCCTCAGGACACTAGGGACACGGCAGTGGCCAAAATCATTGAGAACGAAAAGCCAAGCCGTTTCGAAGCTTATGACAAAGGCAAGGACAACAACAAGCGTCAGGGCCAGTGGTGTACTGTTGTCTCCCCTCAGTTGCCTTCATCACCACGGTCGAGCTGGTGACCCTGGCGAGGAGGACGCGTATTATTTCCCAGCGCCATTGGAGCGTCCATGGAGCAGGTCGTCCGCGATTCCCTGGAAGCTGCTGAGGGACATCGGCGTGCTCAAGTCTGACGGCCCGCATCTGAGGTCGCACAGCGCGCAGGCGCGGCGTTCCTCTCTGGCCCTGCCCCTCTTGCCACGGCTACTGTTGGCTCGAACTGATTGATCTCATTGGGCGGCCTTGTTCAGTTCCTCGTCGCTGCGCTGGATTTCTTCGCTTGGCTGGGCATTGGCTCGGCAGCATGTGCTTCGGCGTAGGCCCAAAGTGCGCTTGCCATGCGTGGCACGCCCTGGAGCACTGTGCATCCTCTTCCTCCTCCCTGTTGCTCTTCCGCTTCCTTTCCTCCTACTCTTCCTTAATTCCCGACTCTGCACCGCCAGGCGGCGGCGACAGCAGGCAGGCGATCTCCCAGCGCCCGCCGCGGGCGCGCGCCAGGGCCAAGCGCCCCCCCCAACGGCTCACTAGAGCGCGGGCGCGCGCGCGCCCTGTTACATGCATCGGGAGGGTCGCCAGCTTCCGAAATGAACAAATAACGTGAATCAGAAACATATGGAGCTCGCTTCCGGGGACACCCTGGCGGCGCCTGAGGCGCCGCCATTGGCGCACCCCGCGCGACAGGGATGGGGTCCGATACGAGAAACCCGCGCAGAGTTCCGAAAGATCCCTGGATCGAAGCCCGAGGAAATTGTTGTACGCCCAGGGTCGTGTTGCGAAGTTTTGGCGTGCTCTTGGCGGCCCACCTCAAGGAAATGGTGCTTCTCCGAGGAAGTGACGACCTCCTAGTGGGAACACCCTTTGGCTCTGCCCCAATGTATCGGCGCGACGGCGGGGGACCAAAAACCAACGGCGCCGCCGTCGTGGTCGCCGCCGTCTCAGCCGCGGCCGTTTCCACCATCGTCGTCGTGCTCACCGCCGCCGTTTTGGTCGTCGTCAGTGTCGTGGTCGCCGTCATCGCCGATGGGTCGTCGTGTCCGTTCCCGTGAGCATTTTCGTCGTCGTTATCCTGGGCGCTCGGTGTTCGCTCGGGGTTGTGAAGTGGGGGGGCCGTATTGGGGACACAACTTTTTGTGGATGGATATCTCAGGCTCTCCCCCGCCTCTGGCGGTGCGCGTTGCGAGCAGGAACACAGCAAAGCCACAGGAAAGCGCGGCACTGACAGCGCAGGTCCGCACATGTGACACATGCTAACGAGCATGAGCACAGCAAAGCCCCAGGAGAGCGAGGCATTGACAATGTAGCTCCAGGAGACGAGGAAAACGGGTGTAGTCTGGGTTTCAGTGGCCGTGCTCGGAACGTTCTGGCCAGTCGGAGGGTCGCAGTCGGGCGCGCGCCCGAGGCCGGAAGCACGAACGCGCGTTGCTGCGCGCTGAAATCAAGCCCTGCCGAGCGCTGAGTTTGTCATGATATCAGGCCACTTCCTCCTCCTCCTCCTCCTCCTCCTCCTCCTCCTCCTCCCTTTTCTCCCTCCGGCACGCTTAGAACGTGCACAGGAGACGCTTCAGTAAATCAAGCACAGTTACGGTTTTTTGTCTGGTCAATGTTTGTCAGGGTTTTGAGTCTGACCGTATTCCCCTTCGTCGATTCTGGCTCCCGACCCCATGGTCTATTCTGCGACGCGACTCTCGAGTCCGACCCCATCGCTCTGGACCCCATATCCGCCTCAGCTGTTTCCGTTGTTCGACCCCATTGCAGATTGTATGTTGGTGTTGTGTTTCAAGCCTGTTGCCTTGCTTGCCCACATCATTATTCCGTCTCTGGTTCCCGACCCCGTTCAATTGATTGTCTTATTGTATCGCGTCCGATGTTGCGGTGCGCATTTTGTGTATGAGGAAGTTTTCTAACATGTCATTGCCATGCTATGACGACTTCAAATTTTGATTTTATCTAAAGGTTTACGCCACATCCGCCGACCCTATATGAATGATTGTGCCTCCAGGACTGCATGTCACGAGGTTTGTCCGAATCATATGACACGGCGGTCGACATCGTTCTTGTTGTTTCGTTGTTGTTATCGTACCTCTTGGTGCTCCTTTTGTGGCCTTTTGGTGCCATATTGGCTTGTATGCAGGCCATATCTGGCCGCCTTGGGCCAAGTTTTGGAGCCTCTTGGGGGCTTCCTGGAGGCTTCAAGGAGGCCTTTGAGTTTCTCTTGGGGGTCCCTCAGGGCTTCTTGGGTGTTTTGGGGGCGCGTCTTGGGGCCAAAGGCGTGAAAAGGTGGCCTCTGGACTTCCTCTTGGAGCCGTCTGGGGGCCCCCTTTGGCTGTCTTGGGGGCTTCGTGGGCTGTTTTTGGACCCTCTTCGACGCCTCTTGGGGGCCCTTCGGCCGTCCGGGGGCGATATTGAAGGTTTCTTTGCCCGTCTTTGACGTTGCGAAAGCCGAATAGGCGAGTATCCGAAAAATGCTGCATTTTCCATGGGACGATCTGTGTTTCTTGGCACCCTGTTGGACGCATCTTGGGGGCCTTTTGGGGCGTCTTAGCCGTCTGGGGGTTATCGTGGGCGTCAAAGAGCGATATTTTGGCGACCCGTGGCCCTCTGGGACTGTCTGGGGAGCGTTTTGGTGTTTTTTTGGCCCGTTGTGGAGCCCCCCTCTGCTCCCCCGTGGCGCGCTCGGTCCAGGGTCGGGCCGCGCCCGGGGGGAGGCGGTGCGGGATTACGGGGGACAATCCACGCCTAGACCCACAAGAGGTCGGCGGATTCGCGTGGTGTCCGATTTTGGTCTACATGCGTAAACGATTGTGACTATTGTTTCGCACGGGACTCCAGCATCGGATGCGATGGCAAATCCAAAGTTGATTCGGTGTCCGAATGGTTTTCTCTCCGGCGGCGGGTCGTTCCGAAGTTCTTATGGCCTTGATGTGTCCGACATTGTTACCAGCAATGGCGGGTCAGACTATATTTAAACCCGAGAGCCTCAAGCAATGTTCTGACAGATTTCCGTGTGGATTCAAAGCGAATCGCGCCACAGCATTCTGCAGCATAACCCATACCCAGCGGTGTTGATATCTTGAAAATATAGCCCGGCGAATTTGCGGATGGAGCTT